CCTTCTTTCTCCTTCCCTCCACCCCTCCCTCTTTTCCTTCTTTATTTCCTTCCTTCCTTTAGTCTTTCCTTCTTTTTGTGGTATTGGGGACTGAACCCAGTGTTTCACAGGTGAACTCTCTATATCTTAAGCCATACTCCTAGTCCTTTTGTTTGTAAAATTGCTTTTGATACAGTCTCACTAATTGCCTAGGTTGGCCTCAAACTCATAATCATCCTGCCTCTGTTTCCTGAGTAGCTGGGATTATAGGCATATACCATCACCCACCACACCCAGTTTTATTTTGTTTTTGAGTCAGAATTTCACTCTGAATAGCTCAGGGTGCCTTGAACTTAGGATTCTCCTCCCTCTGTTCCTTAATGCTGGCATTTCAAGTATACTACACCCAACTTTCCTGCTTTTTTTTTTTGCTGCTTCTTTTTCTTTTTTGCCAGTTCTGGATTTTGAACTCTAGGCCTGGGCTCAGTCCTTAAGCTTCTTTTGCTCAAGGCTAGAACTCTACCACTTAAGCCACAGTGCTGCTTCCAGTTTTTTCTGAGTAGTTTATTGGAGATAAGAGTCTAACACAGCCAGAGCCTATAATCCTAGCTACTTGGGAGGCTGAGATCTGGTGATCATAGTTCAAAGCTAGCCCAGGCCAGAAAGTCCAGGAGACTCTTATCTCCAGCTAATCACATAGAAAGCCAGAAGTGGCACTGTGGCTTTTGTGGTAGAGTGCTGCCTTGAGCAAAAGAGCTCAGGGAGGCTGGGAAGGTGGCTCAGTGGTAGAGTGCTTGCCTTGCATGCATGAGGCCCTGGGTTTGATTCCTCAGTACCACATAAGAAAAAAGAAAAAAGACAGAAGTGGTGCTGTGGCTCAAGTGGTAGAGCGCTAGCCATGAGCTGAAGAGCTAAGGGACAGCACCCAGGCCCAGAGTTCAGGCCCCATGGCCAGACCCCCCCCCAAAAAAAAAGAGCTCAGGGACAGAGTTCAGGCCCCAAGAAGGAAGGGGATGTTTGGGGGAGGGGGGAGTCTCAGGGACTTTCCTGCTTTCCTGTCCCAGCTGGCTTCAAACTATAGTTCTTAGATCTCAGATCTCAATAGCTAGGATTACAGGTATAAGCCCTGATGCCTGACTTTTTTTTTTCTTATTCTTTTGCATGGTGGACATTAAACCCAGGATCTGTACATGGTTAGTAAGTGTTCTTCCACTGAACTACTCCCCAGCCCCTCCAAATTCTTTGCTATGCATAAGCCTATGATGACCGTTGTTATGCATGTCTTTGAAGGGCACAGCAATAATTTTTATAAGGTCTAAACTATAAATAGAAATGCTAGTTTACATTATGTAATATAGCCTTAGCAGTTGTCAGTTTTTCAAAGTGGTAGTACCATATATTCCTATCAGCAGTGTGTTAACATCTTCTATTCCTATCAGCAGTGTGTTAACTGCACATTCCCCCTGACAACTGGTCACCATTTGTTCTCACTATAGGCATACATGAGTGAGGTTGGGTTTTGTTGTTATTGTTTTGTTTTGTTTTTGCTGGTCTTGGGGCTTTAACTCTGGGCCTGGGCTCTGTCCCTGAGCTTCTTTTGCTCAAGGCTAGCATGATACCACTTGAACCATAGTGCTATTTCCAGCTTTTTCTGAATGGTTTTTTTGTGTGTGTTGTTGTTGTTGTTGTTTTGGTCGTGGGGCTTGAACCCTGGGCCTGGGCACTGTCCCTGTGCTCTTCAGTTCAAGGCAAGCACTCCACCGCTTGAGCCATAACACCACTTCCAGTTTTCTAGTGGTTTACTGGAGATGAGTCTCATGGACTTTCCTGCCCGGGCTGGCTTTGAACCATGATCCTCAGATTTCAGCCTCCTCTGTAGCTAGGATTACAGGCATGAGCCACCGGCACCCAGCTACTTTTTCTGAGTAGTTTATGGAAGACAAGAGTCTCATGGACTTTCCTGCCTGGGCTGGCTTTGAATCGTGATCCTCAGTTCTTTTTTTTTTTTTTGGTCAGTGGTGGGTCTTGAACTCAGGGCCTGGACACTGTCCCTGAGCTCTTTTGCTCAAGGCTAGTGCCCTACCACTTTGAGCCACAGTGCCACTTCAAATCTCAGCCTCTTGAGTAGCTAAGATTACAGTTGTAAGCCACTGGTTCCCAGCTTGTTATTGAAACTTTTGTTAGATTTGTTTTATTATTTTTTTTACAATACTGGGTTTTAAAATCAGAGATTTGAACTTACTAGGCAGGTGTTCCACCACTTGAGTGGACTGAAGTTTTTAAAAGAGAGCCTTGGCTACAATGTGGAACCCCAACTGGTAGCAGGTAGGCTGGAGATCAGAAGCTATAAGATCAAGCAGGAGGCAAGTGCAATGTATTCAAGGAAACTGGAAAGGTAGTAGACGAGGGCAGTCCCAGGAGAGTACAAAAAAAAATGGGCTAATGAGACATATTTGTAGGTGATAGGATTAGCCAATGAGAAGAGTAGGCCTGGGGAAAAAATGAGTCCTAAATTGTTTTTATTTGGCAGTACTAGGGTTTGAACTCAGAACCTAGCATTTGCTAGGCAGGTGCTATATCATTCCCAAACCCAACTCTTTTTGCTTTTAGTTGTTTTCCAAATAGGGTCTCACACTTTTGCCCAGGGCTAGCTTTGGTGATTGTCCTACCTACTGCATCCAAAGTAGCTGGGAAGATGGGTGTGTGGTACCAGGCTAGGCTACCTTTTTACTTTTATTTTTTTGAGATTGTCTGGATTTGTATTTGTGTTCCTCTGATCTTAATGTCTCTCAAGTACTGAAATTCCAAACATGAGCCATGGTGCTTAGTTAAGTTCTAGATTTTGCATCGAAAACTGGTAGATGAGGACCATTTTCTGAGATAGAAACTGAGGAAGGAACAGCCAAGTAAGAGGACTCATATGTAGCTATTTGAACGTGTGATGTCTCCTGGAGTTCACATAGGCTCTCCAAGAACTAACATAGCCTCTGAGTACCCCTATCTTGGTACCCTGGGGACTCCCTCCCTTTTTTTGCCTTGCAACTTGGACTTTATGCTGTAACTGTTCACCCTCCATCTTCCCTCTTACAGGATTAGAAGTCAACAAGATCACAGATGGACATTTCCAGAACACATTAGGATGAAAACAACCATGCTTGCAAGTTCCAAGCACCAGTGTCATATAGGTCTTGTGAGGTTGGCACTGTTTCCCTCTCACCCACATTTTCCACATCACTCCAGACATTCCTGCTGAGGGACGCTGAGCCATGGGATATCTTCTATTCTTTCTTCCCCCAGCCCTTCCCCAGAAACAGAATGAAGTACAGCAGTTGACTGATTCATAGACTTTTATCTGTTTTTTTCTTCACCCAGTGGTTTCTGCAATGACAACCCAGCCTGTACAATGCACACGGTTCATTCTGTTAAAGCTGTGGGGTATAGGGTAGGGGTGAGGGTCCCTGGGAAGCAACAGGGCAGGCGTCAAGGCAAGAGGCAAGCAGCAGCCAAGACTAGGGGGTGGAGGGAGTGAGGGGAATGGTATTCCAGAAGGGAAGAGGCTGCAGGGATTTGGGAGGGGAGTGGGAAGCCTGGACTACAGGGAGGTGATGGGTGGCATAGCAGCTACAGGGAGGAGGCAGGGAACAGGTGAGGGTCAAAGTCACTGAAGGGCTGCAAGAGATGAAGAGGGCTGGTGCCTGTGGACATTTTTTATGACAGGAACCAGGCTGCTGTATAAAAGGGACTGTACAACATAACCTATGATACAATGTTTACATATGATACAAGGCTCTTTCTCTCTTTGAGGTTTAAAAAATAAATGTACAATTCCAGAGTTTTGGGTAAAAAATATATACACTCCCAGAACAGAAAGAGCAGCCATGTTGGTGGCTGCTGCTCACTGCTGCCTCTTCAAAAGGGAAAGAGGTGGTGCCTGGAAGGCAGGCGAGGCTGTTCCAGGAAACCCTACACAGTAGCTGCCAGGAGCCCTTGTACCCTTCAGCCCTAGGATTGGTGGTGGGAGAGGGAGGGGAGACAGAGAGGTAAAAAAGGCCTCACCAGAGTCTAGTTTCACCTCTGCAGTCGTTGTCTGCTGCCCTCCTTCTTGAGGGGACCGCTTGCCCTAGTTCAGAGATCCACCCACCTTAGCTGTACAGGGAGGACAAAGGAGAGTAGTCACGACAGGGAGAGGGACAGAGACTGTGTTGTTGGATATCAGACATAAGCACTAGAAAGAGGGTGATAACTCCCATTAGCAGGGAGGTACCCCAAAAGCAGAAGTGTGGGAGGATGCACCCCCAAACTCCTGATACTGCCACACTTTACCCCACTGCAAGGCAGAGGGAGATCCAATAGGCAGCTTAGGCCTGTGTTTCCCTGAGCATCTTTTACCCTTTCACAGGAGCCTACCCAGCAATCATGCTGGGAGGCCTGCATGAGGGACTGGCAAGGGCTGATGGGTAACTTTCCTCCCTGGCCTCCAGAACAGCTTAGCCCAGAAGCCTGGGTATGTACAGGGCAGCAAGCAGGAGGAGTTGAACAGAGGGAGTGGTGGGGTGAGGAAGCACCCCACACCATAAAATGGACAGAGCAGACAAGGGTAGCACCAAACAGAAGGAAACCCCCACACCACATACAACCCCCTGCCTCTATTACCAGATATATTGCTGCTCTCTACAAAGGGCTACCTGTGCACACACCACACACACACATTGGAGGGTGTGTGTGCATCCAGGGCTCCCAGTCCTGACCAAAGGGAAGCTAGATAGGTGGTGTGAAGAAGGGCACCAATCCCTCCCATAATGCCTCTCACTGAGCCTGGAGGTGGCCACTTCCTCCTGCTTGGGAAGAAAGACTGGAAACTCCATCTCTGGACCAGACCTCAGTGGGAGGGGACAGAAGAAGGAGCTCTCGGCCTTCTTTCCTAGAGAGGGCAGACCAGCAAAGTATTGCTAGGACTTGAAGGAACAAGGGTGACTTTCAGCAGGATGAAAAGGCTTAGGAGTCCTATAAGTCCATCCATCTCTTCTTTTCTGGAGCAGGAAGTTGCCCCAGGGGAAAGATATCCCATATGGGTTGGTTGGGACATTTTGCAAAGTGCTGAGTGCCAGGTGCCAAAGACCCTGTGAGGGGAGACCAGGCCCCTCCACTTTCACTGACTATTAGCCTCTAGCTTGTAGGAGAGCTCGAAGAGGAGATTCTGGTTGTCGATGACCTGAAATTGGCGCACATAGGCCTTCGTCTGCAGGTGATGGGGCGAGGCCTCCATGTCCAGGCCTGGGGGAAAAGGGGAAGGAACAGGTAGTTAGGATCCTAGTCTCCTTTCTTTCTCTATACATGTGCATGCATGCAGGTGTCTGGCAGAAAGCCCAAGGAGAGAATGGAGAACTGGCCAGTGTAAGGAGATACACAGATGAGCAGGGAGTTCCCCCTGAGCCCTCCCACTGAGCCAGAGTTCAACCCTAAATCCCCGTCAGAGCCCAGGGTACTCACAGAGGGGCCTGCTCCGGTATTTGCGAATAGTCCTTACTTTCTCAGCCACTGAATGCTGGGGGGTGACAAGGAATAAGCTCCCAAAGGGCACAAAAAGGTACTTTCCCACTCCATTGTCCAACTTGGCTTTACTTTTTCCAGTCCCCAGTTGTGAGAGACCTCAGAAGGACCAACTGAGGAGATGCATCAGGGTAACAGGAGAGGGGAAGGTAATTGCCCCAAGCTGCCTATCAGCTTTGCCACCTGTGGGTGGGTTACCACAGTGATGCCACCAGGGAGACAGTCGGGAGTCTGTTAGGCAAGCTGGGCACCACAGAGGAAAGCTTCTATTTTAGGAGGTGACAGGAGAGAGGGGGAGGACACAGCCCCTCACTCATGGGATGGGGGTTGGCAATACTACTCACCAGCTTCTCGATGTTCACCAAACCATCTACAAGGGTCTTACTCCCCTCGTGCAGGAAGGTCAAGTCTAGGAGGTGGGGACAGAGGGAGAGAGCTAAATGTGAGGACAGGACAGAACGGGAGTTCATCTAGCCACTGTACCGTTCTCCTTCCCCAGAACCCATTCAGTCTGGGGTGAGAACTGCAAGCTGAGCTAAGAGGGAACTAAGATTCAAAACTGGGCCATGGAATAAGGGACTGCAGATAAAAGCAGAACAGTGTGACTTTGCAGTGTGCTAATGACTCTCACCTTTGAGGATCAGCGGTACAAAGGGAATCACAGGGGGCTTCATTTTGGAGATCACTTCTCGGTAGCTTTTGTGGTTCCTACAGGGGTCCTATCATTTCACAGAAGAGGGATAGATCAGAAACGAGTCAATAATACTCCCAAGATATTCTTCCCTATCTTCCTCCATTCCTCCCTCATTCCTTCTCTCCCATTTTTCTTTATTCCTTTGGGGGGGGGATTATGAGTGCCTAGCTAGGGGTGTGGTGGGAGAGACTTGACTACCCTCTCTTCTAAGGAAAGCAGGGTTGCAATCCTTCCATCCCTGAATGGTGGGAAGGGGGATTCTCAGAAATGAAAAACCTTGCACATGAAGCTTAAGGCAGGGGGTTTCCAGGAACAAGGGTGTAAGTCCAAGGACAGATGAAAGCTAAACCCACTCACCGTCAGGTTCTCAAATTTGCGGAACAAGTTCTTGAATTTCCCTGGCAGCTTCTGCAGAGTGTGAAAGGAGAAGGAATATCAGAGTGGAGCTTCTTGGGTTTCAAGGCAGCATGTGACTCATCTCCAGCACTGGAGGGGGTAAAGTCTTGCCTATCTTATAGAGGTTGGGAAGCTGGTGGGTGAGGAAGTAGAGAAGTCCATCTGTGGCTACTTCCAGAAGGGATAAGTTCATTCTGGGGTGAGACCTCTGCTTATGCAGGTGCTATGTACACAAGTGCCCCACTATATAGAGGCTGAAACTTCAGACTCATAGCCAAGCCCACTCATGCTGCAATTCTGGCTTTTCACTAATTTGCCAAGACCTGAGTCAAGCCATCTATATATGTCCTGGGGCTGTACTTGGAGAGGAGAAAGTCTGTTTCCAACAGGCACAGACTCCCCACAAGCTAACCCTAAGGACCCCCCCCATGGGTGGGGGGAGCTCAGGATGCTAAGATCCCCTATGTGGGGTAGTTTGAGCCATCTTGATGGAAGGAAGAGGAAGGGAGGTATCTCCTTACCTCCCAGGTAAGCCGCAGACGGCTGACAGCTGCGTTGTCCAGCCCCATGACAACAGCGTAGAAGGACAGAAGGTCCTGGTTCTGCTTGCAGCTGCAGGGACAAAGGGGAGGTCAGTCAGGTCAGGATGTCAGATGACTGCAACCCCCATCCAGCCTGGCCCACACTCACATGGCAGCAATCTTGATGAACTTCTTGAGCAGCTGTGCACGTTTCCCTGGGGCCTCACAGAGCAGCACCTCGGTGGCCACCCAGTGTGTGACCTCGTAGCAGCTCCAGGTTGGCTGTCTCCCTGCGCCCACGTTCCCCATGGAACACGTAGTCCACAAACTCCAGCTGCACCCACAGTGGCAGAAAATGGCAGCCAAGGGAGAGCAGGGAAGGAGAAAGGCAGGAGACAACCACCATTAATAGCATTCTATCTATGAGCACTTACTAAGTACCAGGCCTTTCTTTCTTTCTTTCTTTCTTTCTTTTTTTGCCAGTCATGGGGCCTGAACTCTGGGCCTGGGCGCTGTCCCTCAGCTCTTTAGCTCAAGGCTAGCGCTCTACCACTGGAGCCACAGCGCCACTTCCGGCTTTTTCTGCTTATGTGGTGCTGAGGAATCGAACCCAGGGCCTCATGCATGCAAGGCAAGCATTCTACCACTGAGCCACCGTCCCAGCCCTCTTTCTTTCTTCTTTTTTGCCAGTCCTGGGGTTTGAACTCAGGTCTGGGCACTGTCTCTGAGCTTTCTGCCCAAGGCTAGCACTGTATCACTTGAGCCACAGTGCCTCTGCTGGCTTTTTCTTTTCTTTTTTTTTTTGTTTGGTTTTTGGGTCTGTGGGGCCTGAACTCTGGGCCTGGGCGCTGTCCCTCAGGTCTTCAGCTCAAGGCCAGCGCTCTACCACTTGAGCTACAGTGCCACTTCCGGTTTTCTGGTGGTTTATTGGAGATAGGAGTCTCACGGTCTTTCCTGCCGGAGCTGGCTTTAAGCCGTGATCCTCAGATCTCAGCCTCCTGAGTAGCTAGGATTACAGGCGTGAGCCACCAGTGCCCGGCAGTCACCACCTTTTTATATTTTCTTCTTCCTCCTCCTCCTCTTCCTCCTCCTTTGTGTGTGTGTGTGTGTGTGTGTGTGTGTGTGTTTGAGGGGAGATGTGTGTCAGTGTCAGTACTGGGACTTAAATTTTAAATTCAGGGCCTGAGTGCTGTCCCTGAGCTTTTCTAGCTCATAGCTGGCACTCTATCACTTGAGCTGCAGTTCTACTTCCAGCTGTTGGTAGTTAATTGCAGATAAGTATCTCTCAGATTCACCGTTCCTGGGCTGACTTCAGAACTGAGATCCTCAGATCTCAGCCTCCTGGGTAGCTAGAATTATAGGCATGAGCCACCATCGGCCCACTTATATTTCTTTAATAGTAAATATTTTAAAAAGATGCTAATCCTCTGTTAGGTTCTATGCAAGCAGCTAGCTTAGGCCCTGAACCATTCTGCTATGAAATCTCTCTTTGCCAATTTTTTTTTTCAGATAAGGGTATAAAGGCCTGGAGAGGTTATGGCTGTGCCTTGCCCAAGGGCATGCTGCCAGTGAGCTTCTAGCCAGAAAGTTTTGCTATAAGCACTGACCTCAATGATAATTTTCTCCCTTTTGCCTCTGCCTATCCAGCACCAGCTTAACCCACCTCATGAACACATCGGAACAGCTCCCAGTGGAAGACAGTGAGGTGGTTGGCCACATCCTCCGGCTCCACTCGGTGGATCTCTGTGTCTCCAGGGGAGACCTGAATCTCCTCAGGGAGGGGTACCTAGGGGCAGACAGGGGTATAGGACTGTACTGCCAGTGGCAGGATGAAGACAGCTCCCAAACATGCCTCGGGCCTCACCCCAGCCAAAGCCTGGTGAAGAAGGAGCTCTTACCAGGGCCTCATAGCTGTCACGAGTGCAGGCAAACAGATGGCTGTTGATGCCCAGCGTGGTGAAAACACAGTCTTCAGTGGGTTGGAGCAGGACCTTCTCTGCAGGAGAACAGGCTGTTAGCCTTAGCTTTGGCCACACTGCCAGGCCACCAATGCCACTCCCATCCAAATACTCATAACCCTGCACTGAAGCTGTCTACACTAGTGGGACTCATCACCAGTTTGTGCTGTATTTATCTGAAATGTGTCAAATGATTTCTTTTGCATTTAGAACCTTTCCCCTTTCTAACACGTTCTTTTACAGTTCTCACATTCTTTTAGCCCTGTGACATGGGGAAGGCAGGAGTTTTCTTTTCCTTAGAGGTAAATAAGGTCAAAACAGGCATGGTGATGCATGCTTGTAATCTCAGCACTCAGGAGGTTGAGGCAGGAGGACTGTAATTCCAGAGTAGCCTGGGCTACATAGGAGACCCACTCTCCAAAAAGAAAAGAAAGAGAGAAAGGGGCTATGCTACATTATTTTCTCTTCCCAAAGAATTGGAATCTACCCTGTCTTCAGCCTGAAAAATGAAGCATCTTAGATGCTTAAGAGGGTAAGACTAGAGCGCAATCCCAAAGGTCCTGGATCAGTGATTCCCAAACTTTATTGTTTGGGTTTTTTTTGTTGTTGTTGGTGGTGGTGGTCATGGGGCTTGAACTCAGAACTTGGGCATCATTCAGGAGCTTTTTTGCTCAAGGCTAGCACTCTACCACTTTGAACACCACTTCTGGTTTTCTGGAGATTAATTGGAAATAAGAGTCTCCTGGACTTTGCTGCCCAGGCTGGCTTTGAACCATGATGCTAACATCTCAGCCTCCTGAGTAGCTAAGATTATAGGTGTGAGCCACTGACACCTAGCTGTACAAAACTATAATAATATGCATAGGAATTTCCTTGGGGATCTTGTCCAGATGCAAGTTTTGACCCAGCATGTCTGAAATGCTGCATTTTAACACTCTTCCAGGTGATGAATATGAAGCTGTTCTGGGATGGCTTTTTTTTTTTTTTGGGTCCGGTCGTGGGGCTTGAACTCTGGACCTGGGCGCTGTCCCTCAGCTCTTCAGCTCAAGGCTAGCGCTCTACCACTCAGCCACCTTCCCAGCCCCTGGGACGACTTTTTGAGTAGCAAAAGTCTAGAATTTAATCTCTACCCCTACCCCAGAGTGCTGATTCACACCTCCTGAGGAGGCCACAGCTACCAGGATGAGGGAATCCTCACGTCCTGCAGGTTCTTCTGAATACTGCAGCTTCTCTGTCACAGAGCCCAGAATGTCCTGCACAGATGCTGACAGGCGGCTGCGTATGGTCACGTAAGAGTGGTCAGGCATGTAAACCCGGCAGAAGACTGCACAGAGACAGGAAAGTAGCTTTTCAAAAGAGTAGAGTAGCTGCCCCAGCACAGGCCCCTCCAGGGTAGCTCCGCATCAGAGGCTGGTCTTTATTTTAAATGTTTTTTTCTTTTTGCTTATGTGGTGCTGAGGAATCAAACCCAGGGCCTCAGGCATGCAAGGCAAGCGCTCTACCACTGAGCCACCTCCCCAGCCAGAGGCTGGTCTTTATAGACGCTATAAAAGGGGTTCCTTAAGGGGTGACATTGATCAAAAAGAAATGTACTCATACTGAATTATGAAATGGTAACCCCTCTGTACAACACCTTTGTAATAACAATAAAGGGACTTTTGTGTTGTTGTTTGTTGTGGGGGCTGAACTCTGGGCCTGGGTGCTGTCCCTCAGCTCTTCAGCTTAAGGCTAGCACCCTACCACTTGAGCCACAGCGCCACTTCCTGTTTTTTTCTGCTTATGCAGTACTAAGGAATCAAACCCAGGACCTCATGCATGCGAGGCAAGTACTCTACCACTGAGCCAACTTCCCAGCCCTAAAATTACATTTTTTAAACAAGGGATTTCTTCAACTACATAGGGAGATGCTACTGAGGGTACTCAAAACCTAGAGATCTTATATATGCCTCTGAGCCTCTGTCCCCTGCTGCCCACACTCACTTTCATCTGAGCCTCGAAAGGCAACTCGGGTCTGCAGACAGGAATCTATCCGGCGGAAGTGACGGAAGAGTGGTTTAACCTGCTTGCTGGGCGGCTGGCTCTCCTCTGGAATCCTGGCATGGACACAGCCAGGCATGAGCAAGCCCTGCCAGGCACATAGAGCACCAGGCAGGACCTTTAAGTAGGGATACTGGAATTGGGTCAAGGATGTACCAGCTACAGCTTGAGAAGATGAATAAAGGGGTCAGAAGGGAGGACAATGACCATCATGGGAACCTGTACAAGAGACCCAACAAATCAAATGCCATCTCTCTCTCAAGGATACTTTTCTGACCCATTCACCCACCAGGAAAGGTTTCTTCCTTGTCTCGACTGCTGTGGAACATCAGGACAATATTTTTATGTTCATGTCTTATCTCTTCTACCAGACTGAGAGCATTTGAGAAGTGGGATTAGTTCTTACTGATTTTTTTTTCTCCTCTAGAGCATAACACATTTCTTGGCACATAGTAGGTGGTAGGTCGTCAAGCTTTTGCTGAATTTTGCTGACAAGGACTTCACAGTCTGGGAGGGAGACAGACGTGTATACAAATACTTCTAACACCAAGGAGGTGTTGGTGACAAAGGTACAGAAGAGTGATCTTGGTGTGGGAGAGGAAGAGAGTTATTCCTAAAAGGAGGCTCTGAAAAGTTTCCAGGGAGAAGATGGCATTTTATCTGACCTTGAAGGAAATAGAAAGTGCGGGAGAAGGGTATTCTGGGAAGGCTATGTAACTGACAGCAGGAGGTTGGAATTGGTAAAGCACAGGTGTTCAGAGAGATGGACTATACAGGGTGGAGGGAGATGAGACAGGAAGGATCAGAAGAAGGAGAGGTTGAGTGCTGTGCTAGGAAGGACATTTAACTGTTTCTTAGATAGTGGGGAAGCATAGATGCTTCTGGAACAGGGGTAAAAATGGCATCATTTGATAAGCTTGAAAGATCTCTCTGGTGTCAACACAGAGAAAGGAGAAAAATGTACGTACACAAGCTGAAACCCTCGGTAAGAGATTGTGGCAATAATCCAGGTGAGAGATCAGGAGGCCTACACAAGAATTGTAGGGCTAAGAATGAGAGAGACTGAAAGAAGAGATGAGGTCTGGAAATGTAGCTTAGTGGAAGAGTGCATGCCTAACATACAGGAAGCCCTAGGTTTGATTCCTCAGTACCACATAAACAGAAAGAGCCAGAAGTACTGCTGTGGCTCAAGCAGAAGAAGTTCACGGACAGTGCCCAGGCCTTGAGTTCAAGCCCCAGGACTGGAGAAAGAAGGAGGAGGAGAAGGAGGAACAGGAGGAAGAGGAGGAGGAGGAGGAGGAAAAAGAAGATGAATGGATATAGCGGTGTCCTAAAGCCAGCTCAAATTGGCTTGCAAGATCAATTTGGGGAAAATATAAACACAGCCATTGTGTGTATGTGTGTGTGTGTGTGAGAGAGAGAGAGAGAGAGAGAGAGAGAGAGCACAAGAAAGAAAGAGAGAGAGAATGAGAATGTGTATGTTTAGAAACTTATGGTCAAATAAATTATCAAGTAAGTTATCAAAAAGATAATTACTTTCAGCCAAGCACTGGTGGCTCACACTTGTAATCCTAGTTACTCTGAAAGCTGAAATCTGAGGATTATAGTTCAAAGCCAGCTTAGGCAGGAAAGTACATGAGACTCTTATCTACAATTCACCACCAAAAAACCAGAAGAGGCTCTGTAGATTGAAGTGGTAGAGCACAAGCCTTGAGTGAAAGAGCCCCACAACTGACAAAAAAAATACTTTCCTAGTTGTTTTCCCACAGTTTATTATCTATACTCTCCAGGTTTATTAAAATCTCTTTTCTTTGGGGGGATGCTGGTGCTGGGGCTTGCCTCTTGTTCTTTTTTGCTCAAAGGTGGTGCTCCATCCAAATGAGCCAAACCTCCTCCAGTCATTTGCTGATTACTGGATATAAGAGTCCCTTGGGTTTCTCTGCCCAAGCTGGCTTCAACCAAGATCTTCAGATCTCAGTCTCCGGAGTAGCTGGGATTATAGGCATAAGCCAACAGCACCAGTCTCTCTAGGTTATTTAAATGTTTGTATCAGTGTGGTGGAAATAACTATATAAAACCAAGCTTCTCTCATCTCTTCCCAACTCCACATTCAGTAATATGATGTTGATAGCTTGAAATCAACCATAATGAAAAAATTTCCACTACAAAGTCAGCAGAAGCTACAAATCAGGGATCTTTCTTCAGAAGTACTGATTGTTAAATATTTGCCAGTACATCATTTAATTGACAGACAAATGAATGGGATAAGAGTCAAGAAAAAAATTAGAAAGACTAAATCTGAGTGTGGTGGTACAAGGCTATAATCCTAGCATTTGAGAGGGGGAAGCAAGAAAATCATGAGTTTGAGGCCAGCCTGGGCTATATTGCAAGGTTTTGTTCCAAAGATGGTGGAGAGGAGGAGGCTGGTGATGATGTTTTGTGTCACCTTCCAGTAAGAGAAAGGAATGAAAACCTGAAGCCACAAGGCCAGAGGTAGCCCCTGTAATAGAGTAATTAGGGGAACTTTTCTCCTGTCCCCTCCCCCAGTTCATTCCCTCTCACTTTAGCTCCACTGTCTCCACAAGCTGATGCAGCCTCAGTGTGTCCTCTCGGAGGTCTTGATAAAGGGACTCATCCTTCATAATTAGCAGGTACAGATCCTGAGAAAAGGACAGAGAAGGTAAGGGCAGGGGTCTCATGCCAAGGACCACACCTTGCAGGGACTGTGATGGGTTCTCCCTCTATACCACAGAGCATAGAAGAACCATAAAATCTAGGGCCCACTGGCATATTTTGCTTTAGGTACCTAACTGAAGGAGTGTGCATCTTTCAAAGAGACCCCCTCTACAGTGGATAGCCTGTTCACCTTCTTTGTGTGTGTGTGTGTGTGTGTGTTGCATGCATACGGCTATTGTGGCTTGAACTCAGGGCCTGGGCACTGTCCCTGAGCTTTTTTTGCCCAAGGCTAGTGCTCTACCCACTAGAGTCACAGTTCCACTCTCAACTTTTGTTTATTAGAGATAAGATTCTTATGGACTTTTCTGCACAGGCTGACTTCAAACCAAGTAGCTAGGATTACAGGCATGAGCCACCAGTGCCCAGCCTCACCCACTTTTTCTTCCACAGGCGCACCTTGATGATGTGGCCGGCCCCCTCTTCCTCTTGCAGCAGCCCCTGGTAAGTGTCCAAGAAATGGAGGAGCATAGCTAGACAGGCCTGCTTTCGGCCCAGCCCCTCAGGGCCTTCCACACCCTTTGCCTGAACAAAGCTGACCCCTAAGTTAAGAAAAAGTTCTAGGAAAGCAGACTGGAGGAAATTCAGAAAGAGAGACAGTGGCAGGACAAATGGCCCCCAAATATTCTGCACTAGGGGCTAGGGAAAAAGTAGGTTTAGAGATCCTGGAGCCAAAACCCTCTTCTGTGCTAGCCATGTTTCTGCTCAGAGTAGGTCATAATTTAGCTACTGCCTTTCACTTGAGGAAACTATTCCAGGACCCCTCTAACCTCTGGCCAACCTAGGGTCTGTAGCTCACAGTAGAGTCTACAAACCTGATTTTACATCATTAGAGGCCTGATGTTTCTAAGAGAGCCTATGATACTATACTCAATGGCCTGACATTTACAACTAGGTTCTAAAACAACTTAGTGAGAGGCCAATTGTTTATGGGACCCAATAAATAGGCCAGCCAGTGGCTCAGCTCCAGCAGACCCTACTGAAGCACAGCCTTAACTTGATGTTGACATCAGACTGTGTAATAATGTACCAGACAGCCAGATGTTTACAGCAATAATCCACCATGGGGAGAGAGGTACCTTCTATGGAATAATAACACCTTACATCTGTATAGATCTCTACAATCTACAAAGCACGCCCACACACATCTGTTATCAGATTGATCTTCAGTGCAGCCCACAGGTAGGCAGGGCAACGGCTGTTTACATCCATTTTTTAGAAGGGGAAACTGAGGCTCCAGGACAGGAGGTGGTCTGTCCAAGGTCACATAACTGGTGAATTGAAAGGTTGGGTACATTTTCTAAGGGAGAGCTTGGGCTAGAAGGTCACATGGTGTGGAAGAAGTGGCTCCCTCCTGTCCTGCTCTTTACAAACTCCACAAAAGGATATTACTGGTGTAGCTCTTGCAGGAATTTCTCCGTTGGGATAAAGAGGGAATGGGTGAGGACGATGTCATCCAGCAGGATATCTGTGGAGATCAATGGGTGCCAAGGATGTCAGGAGGGCACTTCCAGAACCAGACTGGAAACCATGCACTCCTTTCTCTTGCCTCTGAGGGTCAGTTCTCTTTAGCCAGGCTGGAGCCATGGCCACCTGCTCTGTCATGCTCTGCACATGCGCACACACATGTGTGAAGTTTCTGGGCAGCCGCTGCGGGGGTGGGGCTGGCAGCTGCCAAGGCAGCTGGGGGTGGGGAGGGATTGCGCCTTTGCTGGCCATGTATACTTCTCTTCAGAATGTGTGGGAAGTTGGTCAGAAGATAATACACCATGCCTGAGATCTGCCCCCTCCAAAAAAAAGAAAGAAAAAGAAAAGGAACCCATAGAAAGGTCTCTGGACAGAGAACTTCCAAACACAGAGGTTAAGGTCAGGTGTGTATGAACAGATATGTGTATAGATATGTGTCCCTCTGCCCTCCTCAATTCCTACCTCACAGCTCTGTGTTCTAACCAGGCAGGTGGGAACCAGCCCCATTAAAAGGGAGAGGGGAACAACTGCTACTTCTTTGATCTCAGAGCCTTTAAATAGAAACTCTGTGTCCTTTGGGTGCCCAGAGGTGGAAGGGTTAATGATGGAAAGAGAAGGGGAGGGGCTCACTTCACCACCCTTTTCCATCCACACCCATCTGGGCCTGGCTCAGCCAGTCAGCCGGGTACAAGGTTGCCCTGACTTGCAGCCAGCCCTGGGGTGGGGCAGGGCTGCCTGGCATACAGAGACAGGCAGGGCACAGGGAGGGAGCCAGGTGTCCTTAGCAGGACAGGTTAGGGCCAAGTCCTCCAGCACTGCTCCAGACCAAAGCAAGGTTTCTGACAACCTTTGGCTTACCATGCCCTGTTGCCAATTCTAGCCATGAAGATGGAGGAAAAGCAACACATGATCAGGTACTTCAACTGTATCACAAATAAGAAACTGAGATCTATCTGAGCATAGTGGTACATGCCTGTAATTCCAGGATTCAGGAGGTAGAGGCAGGAGGATATTGAATTTGAAGTTAGCCTGGGCTACAGAGTGAGACCCTGTCTTAAAATTAAAAAAAAGTATGGGGGGGGAGGGAAGAGAGGGGAAGGGAGAAACTGAGCTAATCTCAGAGCTAGAAGGGACTTGCCTGGAGCTGGAAGAAACTAGACTCTTGAATCTTAGTTCTTTTTATCAATTTTCCCAAGGTAAGCAGAGTATCAGGGCTGTGGTTAGATGGGGCTGCCTTGCCAGGCGCCGGTGGCTCACGCCTGTAATCCTAGCTACTCAGGAGGCTGAGATCTGAGGATCACAGTTCAAAGCCAGCCCGGGCAGGAAAGTCTGTGAGACTCTTATCTCCAATAAACCACAAGAAAACTGGAAGTGGCTCTGTGGTTCAAGCGGTAGATCACTCGCCTTGAGCCGAAGAGCACAGGGACAGCACCCAAGCCCAGAGTTCAAGCCCCACGATTAACAAAAAAAAAAAAAAAAGATGGGGCTGCCTAGACATTTGAGCATCTCTGGCTAGTTGTGGAGGACTTTCTATAATCAGTGTTACACACTCTGACCGGAAACCAATGTAGCTTGAGACCATGAATTGAGTCGGAAATATGAGAGTGGCAAATTAAGCTGATTCTCATTCACTCTGGGACTGGTCTGGGGTTCCCAAACCAGTTACTCTGGGGACTCAGCCTGCTAGGCCAGATACTATGGGTGACAATTCAGAAATCTTACCCTGGAGCAGACCAGGCAGAGCCTGTGGCACCAAGCTCCTGTGAAGGGGGAAAGAAAGCTTTATCTTTTTCCTCTCCATCCAGAAACTCTGTTCTAAAAGTGAGCCAGAGAGCCTCCAGTCCTGACTCTCAACTCTAGGAAATGGGGACAAGGAACAGGGAAGCCTGACATCCTTCCCCACTTCTTTATCTCATAAGAGGCGAAGCCAGAGCAAAGGAAGAGGAAGATGGGGCAGAGTGGGGGAGATGCTGATATGGGGGCTACAGTTTGGCATCTGTCTCTTTCAAAGCAGGCTCTGGTCCAATGCACAGCCTCCCCAGGGAATGTGTCATAGAGACACAGGGTGTGTGGTGTAGGCGGGAAGTTATGGTTAGAAGAGCTGTGTGTGTGTGTCTGATATTTTTTTCTAATTAAATCCAAAAGGTGTCAGCTCCCCAGGGCAACTGTAGCCTGAGCCAAAGGAGAGGACCCAGACCTTGATAAAAATAAATAAATAAAACCCCAAAATTGAGGGGAATCGTACCCCCTCCATACCACTAGGCTGAATGAAGCAGGTGTAAACCTCCTGTGGTTAGGGTCTCAATTAGAGCTCCTAAGCCTAGTCAAATGATTAGAGATATACCTAAGGACCCTTATATCTTCTGCTGCACTAACTGGCAATTTGGGGCCCCACTCTCCTCAAAGGCCTCTTAATAGGGTGCGGGTGGGGAGGGGTGAAGTAGCATCATCGTTTAGGGAGTAAGTCTCCAGGGTGTGGTTATTTTTTTTTTTTTAAAGAGGCAATGTGCTGAGGCCTGCCACCAGAAGTGTGGGAGCTGGAGAAGCCCAGACCCTTCTGGATGTTGCCAGACCTTGGTACCTGTCCCACAAATTCCTCCTGTCAGTTAACAGCTTCTGAGCCCACCGGCAAGTAGAACGTTAGCCATCATCAAGCTATTAAGGGCACCATACATCAAGCTAATAAGGACAACGCATCCCTCTGCCCAGCCCCAGGGGCAGTCCTGCCCTGTGTCTATCTATGCTAACTAACCCCTCCAAGTGGGTCGGCCTGTGCTCTGGAACTTCTACACAGTCAGGGCCTCCTGTCAGGATTTTCAGGCCTTGGCATGTCTGGACGGTGGCACGGGCTGCGCTGGTTAGCTTCCATCTTAGTGTGTCAGGCCCTACTTTGAGGGCACAGGAGGAGGCAGTCAACAGCAGGGACCCATAGGAGAGACTGGCTAAAAATGTCCGGGGGAGAAGAAGGGTGTCTGGAGGCAAGGAGGAGGCTCGGCTTGTCCCTCGGTGGGTGAGGCTGCCATGGGGAAGAAGGTGGGCACTGCAGCTTCTCCTCTGTGCAAGGATGCATCTGAGGCTTGGCTCGCTCTGGGAGGACCCCTCCGAACACAGAGCCATCCCCACTCTCCAAGGGTAAGAAGAGGAAGCAGGGGGGCCCCCCCTTGCTCCTGGATGGAGGAGCAAGCCGACCTTACCTGAGGCGCCGCTGTCCCTGGTGGCCCCTCCGGCCAGCCGCTCCAGAACCCGGTTCAGAAGATGCTCCGGCCGCTCAGGGGCGCCCAGGGGGGCCCAGGGGGGCGAAGTCAGAGGCTCGCCAGGGGACAGCTCATCTGAGGAGTACGAAGAAGGGGAGCGCAGGGGTCCCCCACCCCCGAGCGGCCCGGGCCCGGGCACCTCCTCTAGCTGCAGCCAGCAGGGACCCCCATTGCCCGGCTCTTCCGAGACCCCCACGGGCTCTCCCCCTTCCTCCTCGGGGGGTGGCTCCAGCCCTGGCTCTGTGGGGTGCTCCCGGAGGAAAGCTGGGAGCAGCAGGCGAGACACGCTCTGACGCCGCTGCAGCGGCCGCGGCCCGG